GTTATAAAAATACATTATACATTGCATACTGTAATTAACAATGAAGCACCTTACACCATATTATTTATATATATATATATAGGCCTATATATGTAGGCCTATATATATAATATATATATAAACTGTTACTGCTGTAGCAGCCGAATTCTTCGTCATTGGCGGAATCAGTTGACAAATATATATTATATCCATATAGCACACAAATAAGTATAAATATATAAGAAAAATAAAAAAATAACCGAGCAGGTGTGCCTACTAGTTATAAAAATACATTATACATTGCATAATTAACAATGAAGCACCTTACACCATGTTAACCATAATCTAGAATGCTTATACACTTCACAAGTATATCTGCAGACTTATCAATTCTGGTCAGACAGTTAAAAACCGACTTTCTCATATATTCACCAAATGACGGTAAGCCAGTGGTGACAAAGAGATCACTAGCACTGCAAAACTTAGGTTTTTTTAGAAACATCCTAAGGTACTTGTTATAGCATACTTTCAGACATTGCATAGTTTTTTTTTTATTATTGTAATCAGACCACAAGTTTGAGCAATACATATTTATGAAGAAACTATTAAATAACACACACTTGGTTTTTTCAGAACAGAGATTAAACCGCCTGCTAAGGACGTTTCCCCTGACACACAAAGAGCTATACTGACGCATTACATCAGCTTTGTCTTTTAAATCATCAGATATAATGTGACCAAGATATATGAATTGTTTCACATACTCAAGGGGTTTGTTCATTAAAGTCGTGATTGACTCCCCCGTGAATTTCCTAACCTTAGGACAAACACACATACATTTAGACTTATTGGCATTAAATAATGTCATGAGACTCAGCATATTCCTCACATATACCAACTAATTGTTGGAGTCCACTCAAGGATGGAGCAACTAGAACCATGTCATCTCAGCATAGCTAAAATGGTTGTATTTTAGGTCTATCATATGACATCCTGCATTACAATTCCCAAGTTTCTTATTTAGACATCATTACATCATTATACATATTGTAAAGGAGGGGTGACATAACCCCACCCTGGCGGACGCCATTTGATACACCATACTCAATTGAACAACGATTTCTCCATCTGACAAGGAATTTCTGAGATGTATACCAATCAAGTAATCTTATAACTTAAAGAGGAGTATCTCTTTCTATTAGCGTTGTAAAGAGGGTCCAGTGATTGAACCTGTCAAATGCTTTACTAGCGTCAAGAAAGTATTCAATGGTTTCCTTTAAAACAAACACACACGTTTCAGTCGAGTGACCACGCTTGTATGCAAACTGATGATCATCACTTTGTAATGATTCACCAGACATATCTATCAGTAAAAACTACAACAATTTGGAGATGACACAAGCTAACGCAATAGGTCTGTAATTGTCTTTATATTTATTTTAAATATTATTATTATTATTATTATTATTTATCTCAGGTTTGCAGGAACAGTACCAGTGTGTCGAATGCTTTTAACGGGTTTTGTCATCGGCACCTAACAACTCTTATTTCATTTTTCAGAACAAGGTAACCTTTTTTTTTGTGAATTAAAACTGTGACTCCATGGAGCAGCGTATAACATGCACCAGAGTATTGCATGCTACAGGCACTGCTGGTGATGTTCAGACTGTTGTAGTATTCATCCCATTCAGTCCTTGCTAACCTTAATAGGGTTTACATGAGACTGTGTCTTAATAACCATTGCATTGTTTTGTTGTAAGAAGTGTTAGGATATGATCCAGTACCGGTATGCTGCCAAAATATCGTAGTACCTAATCTTGAGTCCCCCGGTTGACGAAGCAATTCTTAACTGCAAGATCAGATCAGATCTGAGAGTTTTTGATTTGCTGAGGACAAGGTGACATTATGGAAAGTATTAAGTGCAACGATTTAATATAGGCCTAAATGATGTTGATTATTATTATACAGATATATGTCTAGTAATGGCATGATTGATGTTCAGTACATGCTGTTACACTTAGTATTTGTATGCGATTTTGTATTTTCACTGTAAAAAAAAAAAGACGACAGTGGCAAAACAGGAGGGAACGTTCCCCTCCCTAAATATGCACTTGTCCAACATTGTGAAACCCAAGGAACAACATGTTGTGGCTATGGCAACTAAATGGCCGGAAATGGCATTCACAGTCTTAGGCCTAAATTTGAATATACATTTCCTCTTTTATCTCCATTTTTTTAATTTCCAAAGAAGTAAATCTATGTACTCTTTAAAAATAATATTAATTTAATAAAGTCTAATATTATTATATAGTTATTTAAAAACGATATATGGGCCGTAAAATGCGCCACTGATCCCATTATGTGATATCAGATAAAATAAAATAAAATAAATGACTATTGTATGATATATAAATAAATAACGATGATCTATTTGCAATTTTTTTGTTAAAAACTAATTTTCGGCAGCGGCCATTTTGAAATTCAAAATGGAGGCCCTAGAAGTAAATAAAAAAACTGGCACCCATTTTTTTCTTAATTAGTAAATTTTTTTAGATATTTTTGGACATGTTTGCCAAGAATCTACCCAAAAAATTGAGTTAAAAAATATGACATAAGACAACATACTATACATACGGGTGTGGCATCTTCCAACTTCAGGCAGTGTACAGTAGGCTTATAGTAGGCCTATCAACAATATACTCGTATATTCGTAGTTGAATAATTATCCCAGATAAGCAATGACAATTTTAATATTGAAGATGTGTATAAGAGACAGATCTAATATGGATTTTTGATATATAAATATGTTCAGATTAATATGAGAAAATAATTTATTAAGGCTATTTATAATTTCTTCTTTTTGTATATACAATAATCGGCATGAATACTAATATTTGTTTTAATATTCATGTTATTTTAATATGCAGCTTGTTCACAAAATTTTAATAATACAGAATAAGGATGGCTAATGAATTATTGCAGTAAATTAATGGTTTCGATTTGATGTTTGACATAACTTAATAATGATAATATTAATAATAATAGTAGGCCTGATATTAATAGGCATGCTAATAATAATAATAATAACAATTTACTAGAGTATGACGTAGATAATTTATTGTGTAAAAGATTTATTTTATTGTGGTTATTAATTTTACTAAATAAAAACAATGTTTACTAATAAATATGATGTTTAAAAAATAATAGGCCTACGGTTGATCACATAATTTGCATAAAAATATGAAAAGAATATTAAATTATTTAATAATATAAATTAAAGATTTAATTTGTATTCTTTTTTTTTTTTTTTTGCATAATTAAGCCCACATTATGAAATATTATGTTATATATTATGTTAAATAAATTTGGTTTCGAATAATTTTATTTTTTAATTTACCAATTTGTATATTGTCCTACTAATATTTTATATAACAGCTTATGTAACAAAGTAAAAACTTCCTAGCCCCCTTTACGGGTTCATCGAACGCCGGCGTAGAGGGTTGTTGGAGCGCACAAAACACGCGCTGTATGCATATTCTTCATCAACGCGTCCAGGCTAAAGAGACAAAAAAAAAAAAAAAAGTTGACGAAAAGGTAAAATAAAAAGTGGTTATAGGTCTTACGTCCTAACAAAAGTATGTTCAAAGTAATAACAACATAATTAGTTCTTAGGGTAGCTTTGCAAATTAACTCTAAAAATTATAGACAACAGTTACATGCGAAAAAAGTTTTGTTTACTTATACGATTTTTATATATTGGCACAAGGGCGCTGTATATTTACAGTTCAACAGCATTTCACGAAATTTTGCGGCTATTGTTGATATGGACTATCCTAAAGAATTCCATGAAGTAGCTGAGCGGTTTGCAAGAGCTCAAAGCAAATCAACATTAACAGAATATATTATGTATAAAGGAACCCCAAATTTTGAACAATATTTGCTAGATAAAAATGATTTTATGAGTATTAATTTAAAGTTTAAAGCAAGATCAAATTATTTAGATCTTGAGGGTCGTAGACAATCCTGGTCAAAAAATAACACAGGTCTATGTAAGATTTGTACTTCTAACGAAAAAGAAACAGTAAACCACTTTTTGTTTAATTGTACTTCACTAAACTCTGTCAGAAATTATGTATACTTAAATCTTAAGAACAGCCTCATAGAAAATAAGTTAAATACATATTGGGATATGTTTAATTGTGGATCACAAGAATTAAAACGCCACTTTATGCTTGATAATTTATTCACTGAGAATGAAACATTAGGAGAAATTTTTGATTTTTATTGTAAACAATATTCAATTAAAGCATGGACAACTAGATGTACAATAATATCAGCATTACCTCTCTCAAAATTTAATTAATTAAAGACAAACTAGGTGTATGATGTATAAATGTAATTATTACTATTATTATTATTATTATTATTATTATTATTATTATTATTATTATTATTATTATTATTATTATCGTATTATTATTTATGTAATAGACAGCTTAATTAACTTCATAAAATTATTGTATTGATGTAAGTATGTGTATGTATGTAGAAGTATGTGTACATGAATTTACTTTGCCATCTCCAGTTGCGTTCCTACTGTATAAGGCTGTCTCTTATACACATCTAGATGTGTATAAGAGACAGATATATATATGCATATACATATATATATTTGATAAGCTCTATAATCTAGGTGTTATCATTTGTATTTTGTATTAGAATTTAGAACTTTGCTCTTTTCCCTGTAGTTTAATATGTTATTTGTATTTTTTTGTATTTGTAATGTGGATGCACCACCGAATGATGTGTGCCACCGATATAAAGGTGATCCCATTGAATAAATAAAATAGCTGCATGGAACGTGTGCACGTCCTATTTTAATAAAGAGCGCATTCTAATCACTTAATTTCGCGATTATGTACGCAATGAAACAGGTGGACTCAACGTTGTAAACGTTTCGTTTGTCAACTTTTCTACTCTGAACTTCATCATTATTATGTAACATCACCGGTTACGCTCATCGTGTATGATTTGAAGAATTAAAAGTTACATAACAGCCTATATACTGATTTCATTGGTAGTCGTTTTCTTTTTAAAAGTCGATTATTATCCAACAATTATCAACATAATTATAATTATCGACATCATCATCACTACCATCATCATCATCGCCATCAACATCATCGCCATTAACGTCATCATCCCCACCACTATTAGTACTTCCGTCATCATCATCGCCATTAACATCATCATCCCCACCACTACTAGGCCTATCATCATTACCATCATCATCATCATCATCATCATAATCATAATCATAATCATAATCAATATCATCATAATTAACCACCACCATCGTTATTATTATCACCACCATCATCATCATCATCATCATCATCATCACCATCATCTTGATAATAATAATAATAATAATAATAATAATAATAATAATATTAATACTAATATTAATAATAATAATATTAATACTAATATTAATAATAATAATAATAATAAAAATAATAATCAATATCATTATAACCATGACCATCGTTATTATCATCCTCATCACCATCATCCTTATCATCATAAAGGAATGACGCTTTAAAAAGGAATAATGAATTGTTTTAATACCTCTCCAGGTGGCGTTTTGCATACAAACAATACAGAGTTGAAAGACTACGGAGGAGACTTTAAAATTAATACCAAATGTGAGTACAGTATTGAAAATTTTGCATCGTTAATTCAATAGTTAATTTGGAATTCTGTCACCATTCTATGGTTATTGTTTTTACTAAGTTTGTTAGGTATTGGAGGCATTGACAATTTCCTCGACAGAAGCATGCACTGACATGGCTGCATTCTATTCAACAACAACATACATTCAAAATGACTCACTAAAACTTTTAAAGACCTGAGACTGGCTAAGGACGTTATTTACAGCTTGGGTTTGCTTCCGTTCGTTGCAATACATATTGTAGATTCGTATCTGTTTTTTGAATTGTCTTTATCTGGTGCACAACTTTCAATGATGAATAATTGAAATTTATTATAGCCCGACAAATATATTTTCTATATAATTTTAAAGGACAGCGAAAGTTATCGAGCTAGGCCCATGACATAATCTTAACAATATCGATATTAGTATCTTCATGAATGCATACCTCCATGATGTCAATATCAAATATTGCGGTGGCGGAACCATGAATTCAAAATAGATGGGATCTATGGTGGGACACAAATGGATTTATGATTATGGCACCTCCATGCTCCATGCAATATTCTAGATGCCCGGTAATGGTTAAAATATGAATACAATTTTCTTTCTTTTAATTTTGAATAACTTAGGTGGGACTGGTTGCACACTTCCCCTAGAATCCGGCACTTGCTACACCTGTCAAATTGTATTTTTTTTTTCGAAAATACGGAACAGTTGACCATCTTATATATAATAATGATGATAATAATAATAATATAAATAATAATAATAATAATAATAATAATAATAATAATGTCTATGTGGCTATGTATGTACGATGCACGAATACTCTGTATAAGGTGGACTGCTGGGCCCCAGTAGTATAGTTGCTGTAGGCCTAAATAGCTAAAAATTATTATTTTTTAAATTCAAAAGCAAAAAGCCTTGTTCATGTAGCCCGACTTACATTAACTCATTAATTAATATCAACCACATCGTCGACAAAAAATATCAATTCAAACAAATTCATTTTGATAGCCAGTCCAATAATTGTGTTCAAAAAGCACACGGGCGATCCTGAACTGTAAAATTTCTTCCTATGAAAACCACACATCTTCATCTTCATTGTATGGCATGGCCAGGGATAACGCTGATCCACGACGCCATGGGGTGTAGCTGTATGTTTTATCGTGATTAATCGCAATTAGGTATAACCCCATGGATTTTATTCCAGGACCCTGACTGAGGTGCTAGGCAACCCCTTGTTTTAGACCCCGATCACAATTGTTGAACCCACTGTGGACATATTTCTAATTATTCCTGATTTACGGACATTTTTACTACAAAAATCCTTAAATTGACGCTACCAGCCAAGTGTCTATGTATATATAAGAATATAGCACTGGTATATTATTTAACTGTCTGTTATTTGACAGGAAAACATTTGTCATTCAGTAATTATAAGTTAATAACTTACTTAAGATATGATTATTCAATTATGGAATAAAATTTTTCATCTTTCAGCTCATTGACAGACAGTATCTTTTAATTGGACCTCCTAATGGGCGTTCCTGATGCTCATTAATCTTTAATTTGTTCTTGATCACAATTAATTGTTTATCTTGCTTGTGCATGTTGAGCATGGAATAGATTAAATCAATCAATTAGTCAATTGATATTATACCATGGAAAAAAGTTTTTATATGATTTGTAAGATATAATTGTATTATGCTTATTTTTACTGTATTTATGCATTTTGTATATTCATTTCTATTGAATGGTACACTTTTGCAGTTTAAATTTATTCATGAAAATATAATGCTAAAACTAATTTGTCGACGCTATTGCGATCTACTCGGCCTACTCAATACCATGTATTTAATAATAATCATTCATTCCGTGCATGAAAGCATTGTCCATACATTGCGGATTGAAGGCTGTCTCTTATACACATCTAGATGTGTATAAGAGACAGTGTTGGGGGTGGGGTTCTCTCTATTTTTTTATTTATTTAGGCCTAATATATTTTTAATACTCTGTTTCTAATTTTTTTCTCAATATTTTTTTTATTCCAGTGAGGAATAAGAATCTACAAAATATCAGGAAAGAATGTCCGGACTCGATCGTGAAAGGTCAACAGAACTACCAGTTATTTATAGATTGTCAAAAATGCTGTCACTCATCAAGCTTCCTGCAAAAACTCTGGATATGAAATAAATTAAAATATAGTGTGACTTCTGCAAAATTCTCGCAATTTATGTTACCAATGTGTATTAATTATTGTAGGCTTTATGTTTATAAATATTGTATTATTATTATTACTAATGTTTATCTTAATAACAGAGAAAATAATCCGTGTTGTAAACAATATAGACATGTCAGATAATAATATATATAGAGGATTAAAATCAGGTCAATTGATTTAATGATTTTTGTCGATTGTACATGTAATATATACAGTATACACATATAGCCCAACTCGATTTTAATGCTAAAAAATAAATATCAAAAGGAATTCTGTATTTCTTCTCATCTTATTCAGTGTCTGTCTTTACTGTAATAAATTCAATAGCTAAAATATCTTTATAGGCGTAAACCGAAAGCGAAGAACTGGTTCATCAAAATCCTCTCGAGGACGCCACCAACAAAAAATATAAAACCGGAAATGACGTGGTTGCTAAGCAACAAGCTCATGCATAATCATGAATATTCAGTAACACCTGTTCTAATTAGACTAACAATAAAATCTTTTTGGTCGATTTTGCCAAAACTGAGCTAAAAGTTTTTATTGTTAGTCTAATGAGCACAGGTGTTACTGAATATGCATGAGCTGTAGCCTAGCAACCGACGTCATATCCTGTTTTGTAAAATTCGACAGTACCTTGTAATTTCGTATGTTGTTGGTATTATTCCAGATGATGACATAATTAATGTCGAAATATATTGAATCCCGACACGATGGCGTGCATTTCGATACTTGGAGTATGTATTTTACTATCTTATCTGAGATTAATCAGTGGACCTTTCGGTTTTTGTTGGTATTATGTAAATATATTATTTGGAAATACTAGTGTTTATAAGATATAGTAGCCTATAATAGTGGTATATTCGATTCGAATTGATTATAATGTATTTAATTCGATTATATACTGATTAATATGAAATGTAATTATTATTAATGTAATGACGACAAAGAAAATATACACACATTGAAGTATTATAAATTATAACTTTATTTCTTATATACTCGGAAATGTTACATCAGAACTATTATTATTATTATTATTATTATTATTATTATCATTATTATTATTATTTAAGTTGGTCTCTGTAATATCATTCGAGGATTACAAGAAACATAATTTGCATTCAATTTCGATAATACAGCGGTATAAAACCTAATAAATATTCGCGCGCAATTATTTGCAGAATCAAATCAAATCAAATCAAATTTTATTTTCGGATGAAATATAAATACAAAGAGAGGTGAAAACCTGCCATCCAAGGATTGCCAAAAAGTTTAGGATGAAAACTATCAAGTGACTCTCCAAACAGAATCCACACAAACAAAATCAAGCATAATAAAACTAATACAATAAATGAATAAATGAATAAGAAGACCACATAATTCCGGATATTGATAGTACATTGTGTTCCGGCAATCTAATACACATCTAGTTCCGTTGACAATGATTGTACGTCGACCTCGCATTTCTTGAGAGATCGGCAAACTTGACCTGAGACACTGAAATGAAAGAGATTCAACTTGTGAGAAATACATTCAAAATATTTTCTTTTTGGCATCTGTAAGTAGGCATATTTAAGTATAAACCTCATTAGATTAAAACACTTTTTGCAAACTATGACATTCATGCTTTCATGAGGTACGGTATATGAAACAAATTCAGAGAATAAGATTGATTGTTTGATTAATTCAATATATTATGTAAAGTGTAAAATGTTAATAAAATGCCATTTTAATATGAGTGAGTGCGTACACGCTCCCCACCGCCCATCCCAATTCGAACAAAAGTCCACATTTTTCAGACAGTCGAAAATGTACGTACATCAGGAATTTTAGATGACGCCCCCTCCCCCATTAGGTATGATTATAACATCTTATGTTTCTATAAGAGCATGAGCTTTCTTAATTATATATATTATCATTATAGCATTCTGCAAGACGATTTAGATTCCCTCTACATCATATCCTAATATTGGTTAGTTTATTATTATATCTGATGAAGGGCGATGCCCGAAAACTAATACCCAATCTTGTGTATTATTATATATTTTATTATCAACTACGCCCTTAAGTTATTGTTTAAGCTTTCATATCCACGCTACCCAATCTCATATTTATATTTACTCGTATTTATTTATATCTCTACGTATAGGCCTACCTGATGAAGGGCGATGCCCAAAAACGTTCATGTACTCAATAAATTACTTTTGGCAATACTAAACTCAAGAGTTTTTATTCATATATATGTTTGCCGATGCAGGCTTTAGGCAGACAAGTAATGGGTGATGTTATGTGCTTTGTTATACATATACATATATATATGCCTATATATAGGCCTATCTTATTATATATATATATATATATATATATATATATTATATATTATATATTATATATAGCATATCTAGTACCTACAAAAATGCGGATAAAATATTGAAAACGAGGCCTAGAATGCGGGGAAAATATTAAGCTGTATAAATATATAAGATTTTGAGAACATTAAATGACCAAAGACAAACTTAGAAGAATTCCATATGTATTTATGACAATAGTAAGACTGCAAGGAACCATGACAACGTTGCCTTATCTCGTAGCATAGGGCCTACATGTAATTTTTGAACTGACTACTCACTATTTGTACCTGATGAGTGTGGGCAGCTTTTGACAGATGTCTATACGAAACAAATCTGTAGTAATAAATACCAGTGGAATTCTTCTAAGTTTGTCTACTTTGTATATATATATATATATATATATATATAT